AAAAAAAAAAAAAGAAGAAAGAAAAAAAGAAAGAAAAGCTTTAGGATGACATCTGGGGCTCTTAAACCAGAGTCCAAGAGAGACAAAAGAATGAGTGCTGGGTAGAGTTTAATTTTTTTTTCATGATAAAAGTCTAGTTAATTACAATTTCCCTCTATTGCCAGCGGATAAGGCTTCTCCCAGAGAACTGTCCCAGGATCCGCCAATGGCCACTCTGTGTGCTGGTCTTTCCACCTGTGTCTTTTCCTCAGTGGTCTCCCTGCAGAGCTCCGTGTCCCTTGGTAATGTCCCCATCTGCCCTTGCTCTCAGCCCCTTCCCTTTTAAAGCAGCCAGGTAAGGCCGGGACGCCCGAGGACCCCACACTCACTGCAGCCGACAGCCACCTCAGTCTCGGAAAACCCAGCTGCAGAACGTCTCCTCCACAGAAGCAGCTCCAGCCACTCCAGGGAATCTTGGGCAATGCCTCACAGACCTCCCAGCTGGAGGAGGGCAAAGAGGAAGAGAAAGCTGGGCCGGCCCTTTGCCATAGCCGTCTGGCCCAGGATGTCCCCTGGACTCATCCTAGCTCCTATGGGGGATGCTTAGCCAATGACGAGGCGGCTCACAGAGCTGAAGGAGTCCTGTGCCAGACCCCTGAGACAATAGTTCCAGAATATTCCTGGCTTTCAATTGACAAAAACTGCTTTCCATGAAGAAGGTACTGGTATTTATGTCATTCAACTCTTAAGATCAAAGTTCCATGCAATTCTGTCATCTTTGATTCCTTTCCCCCAAAGTTTCTATGGAACAGTATTCCCATAGACTGTCTCCCATCCTTTGTCTGCTAGCGAGGATGACTATTGAACAGCATGATCCAAACCCACACAGGGATGCGGTTCAGCTTACTGTATTAGTCTATGACTACCAGGAGAAATTACCCACCCGCAAAGAAGACAAGACAGAGTCCTTAGTAATCTGGGCTCTGGGAGAATGGTTTTAACCTCTGTACATCTCCAAAGTTAAAGAAAATATGTTGAAGCTGATTGTGGTAGTATGGACCAGTAATCCCAGCACTCAGGATGCCGAGGCAGGATGGATGGGCAACCCGAGCTACATAGCAAAATCATGTCTCAAAACGCTAGGGGCTGAGGCAGGGCTGAGGCAGAGCTCAGTGGCGGAGTGCTTGCCTAGCTTTGAAGGCCCTGGATTTGATCTTCAGCATTGAGGAAAGAAACAGTTTGGGGATGGGTGTGAAACTTTACCTAGCCTAAGATACTACCAGAACAGGAAGAAGGAGAATCACTGGGTTTTGTTCACCTAAGTCTGGAAAAGTCATGGTATTAATGAGTTTTGATTTTTTTTTTTTTTTTTTTTTTGCCAACCAGTAGCACCCAGACAGCTGAGAACTTTTAGCATGTGACATTCATTCCTCAACAGGGACTCAAGCCCAAGCTCAAATTTTAGTTCTTGATTAAAGTAGATGGAACACTGTGGTCCTAACCTATGTCTTCAGACCCCTAGAAAGGGCCTTGGCAATCAAAATGGAGGAGAGGACAACACTAACTATTAGCTCCTAGGTTAGCAGATCTGCATGTTGTTGACTCTGTTAAGTTGTCAGTGTGGATAACAGAATAGAAAGGCACTGGGTGGTAGGATCTTCTGCCCACGGCCTCACTCTAAACTCTCCAATCCCACACACATTCACAGATGCAAGAGTCGATTTTTGTGTAGAAATTTATTAGACATAACTGACGTGTTACCGTACAAATAGTTATTTACGCATATTTGTCTGGTTTTAGCCACTTAGTTTCTCTCAGAATGGCCCAGCAGGTCCAGGTGCTTGCCACCAAGCCTGACCGCCTGAGTTCAATCCCTGGGACCCACATGGCAGAGGGAGAGAATTGACTCTGGCAAGATGTCCTCTGACCTACACACACACACACACACACGCTACATGAGTGTAATAAAAAATAATAAGGATGTGAGAAACAGATACAGATAGATCCCTGGGAGTAAATTTTATCCTCAGTATAATAAAACAGGGAACAAGATGTCAGGAAAGGGAGGAGGTGGAGCAGGGAGCTTCCAAAAGAGGTAATGCGTAAGCGAAGCATTTGATACTGATTAATCTTGGTCTGAGCTTTTTAGCATAAGACAGCTGTGAAGAAGGAGGGAAGCGTGTAAAGAGACCTCTGCTCTCATTTCAAGGTCCAGGACAAATGATCCGGAAGGCTCACATCTGGACGCAGCCCAGGCGAAAGGGCAGCCTGCCTTCTCAGGCGGTGGCTTTGGGCCAGAGGGGCCAGAGGCTCCGTGCCTAAAATCTCTGCTGACAAAGCTGGTCCTTTGGCTGCTTGCACCAGGGTTCTAGAATGTGGGTGAGAGGTGAAAGAGCCAGGCAGATCCAAGGGGGCGGGGGTGGGGTGGGGGGGTGGGGGGGGGGAGAGGCAGTTCTCCAACAGTACCGGGCGATGAGGCGGGGTGAGCTATCTCATGCCGCTCCCTTCCCTCCATGACAGGAGAGCAGAGATCATGGCCATTCTGTGCACAGGTGGGTCCCCAAACCAAACAGGACAGCAGACGCCTCCTGAGTCAGCCCTCGGCAGCAACTTTCAACTGTGAATGTGCCGGTCTGTGCAGCTCCTCGGGACTTTTCAGTTTTTGAAATCCCTCGTGAACGTGGACCCAGGAGGAGAGGAGAGGGTTAGCTGAGAAGGAGAAAGATACAAGGTTGAGGTAGCAGGGCCCCACTGCGTTTACAGACTCTAGAACATGGCCGGTTCCAACCCTCCCATCACCCTCTCTAACGTCTAAGACCCAAGGACCAACATGGGCATCTGCAAAACGCTGCCGTGAGCTCGAGGCAGGCTTCTCCAGGAAGAAGCCAGACAGCCATGGCCAGGCACTGGAGGGCACCTCGGCAGGGGTGGTTTGTACAGATCTCTAAGGGAACCTTTCAACCAAGAGTCCTGACACAGTCCCTGTGCCTTCCTCCCAGCCTGCACCTGGGCAGCTCTGAGCTTCCTCAGACGGGATCTTCTGCCCACTGCCTCACTCTAAACTCTCCAATCCCACACACATTCACAGATGCAAGAGTCGATTTTTGTTTAGAAATTTATTAGACATAACTGACGTGTTACCGTACAAACAGTTATTTACGCATATTTGTCTGGTTTTAGCCACTTTAGTTTCTCTCAGAATGGCCCAAAGTTTTCTCAGATCACATATCACTTTACAAAGAGAGTGCCAAGGACCGGAGTCCTTCTCAGGAATTTCCATCACATTTATGGGAAGCAGTTAATCACTGCACAGTTCTCATTTCCACGTAAATGATACATATGGCTTTACAGGTGCGGACTGGCCCCTCCCCCACGCCACACACCTCACACTCACCAAGCTCCAACAGGAACAGAAATGGGAAGAGCAAGCACAGACAAATGCCACTGACTGGGTCCTACCGCTCTTCCCCATCCCTCCTGCTGCCCTGAGTAAACCTGATCCATCACAGAGAACTGACATTCTTACATTCATAGACAGGAACACTTTAATTCTCTTCTCTTGATGCAGATTATTGTGGAATTGTCCAAACTGTTACGTAGCTTTAAATAAAATCAACCCGGGTTAAGTCTAGATTGTTTTGATCTTCACAGACTAGAACAGGAACCCTCAATTAAAGTTCCGGGCCTGGTGTGGGAGAGTGTTAGGGGGCAAAAAGGCAAAGGTCATGAGATGGTACAGAGGAGTCATCTTGGAAAGACTCAGCCTGTCCCTGACCTCAGCTTGGTTAGCATCAATTTCCTTATCAGCTGTGGACTGAGTGACAGGCACCACAGTGACCTCTCACCCGCTTTCACCCTTGCTTACTCACAGTATCACAGAGGCTTCCACCCAGACGCAACTTACACCACAGAGGTGCTGATGCTCTCTGAGCAACCCCTGGGCACAGTAAGGACCCGCTGCGGCAATGGCCAGGGTCAACACGTGAGGAGGCTCTCAGCCCAGCTCCCCTCCAGCCCAGCTCCCCTCCAGCCCAGCTCCCCTCCGGCCCACCACTGTGGGGATGGGGCATAAGAACCAACGGGAGAGAAGGGGGGCCTCAACCAGAGCCAGGAACGCTGTGCTCCAGCTCGGATGTACTGGCTGAAATCCAGGACCCCCACACACAACCCCATCCACAATTCCAGTTTCTCTGGGTCTTCTATGATTTCTTTCCTTTCCATTTTTATCACTCAGCAAACACTAAGTGCTTACTATGGCTATAAAAAATACCCAGTAATGTTAGCTGAAGGGAAAATAATCAGAAATTCAGAAGTCACTGCAGCATTTAAAAAACATTATCAGCCGGGCTGGTGGTGGCGCACACCTTTAATCCCAGCACTCGGGAAGCTGAGCCAGGTGGATCTCTGTGAGTTTGAGGCCAGCCTGGGCTACACAGCGAGATCCAGGACAGGCACCAAAACTACACAGAGAAACCCTGTCTCGGGAAAAAAAAAAAATTATCAGTGTGCATGGTCCATTATTGGTCCCACTTCTCACATTACAAGTTGATAAGATACTCACATGATTAAAAACTTAAGCCTAGTAAGACCCTGTGACAAAACCCGATGCTCATTCCACTAAGCTGTCAGCTTTAAAGCCTCCAGAGACTATCGGGTCTTCAGTTTCAGCTGAGGATACACTACAGTGATGAGGCCGGCCACAGAGGACACGAGACCTCCAAGTCCTACGATGCCAAGATTGGACTTGTAGATCCCGAGCTGGTTCAAAGGGATGAGGATGTCACAGAAGTTCTTCACCGTGTCTAGGAGCAAGGGAGGATGCCGCTTCAGGGATCGGAATAAGAGCAGGAGAAAGGACTGGAGCCATTCGGTTTCTTCGTTGACCACACTGTGCCCAGGAGGGGCCCGGGATGATTTCTCCCTCTTGGCCCTGTCCCGGGCAACCCGATCCATCTGCAGCAAGATCTCATACAGATCCCGGACCAGGCTCAGCAGGAGGAAGTAGTAGTAGTGGCGGGCCGCCCATGTCTGCCATTTCTCTCTGTTGACTCCAGAGGTGAGACCCACACTCTTCACCCAGAGGACAGTGTCACAGACGTAATAAATCACACGGTTCAGATTGGCTAGCGTAAGGCAGACGCGGGGCACGAGGTCTGTGACTCGGATGCTCTGTTCAGTTGCCTGGATGGCGTGGACCACGTTGCCTAGTCTGAACCCTGTAAAAAGGAGCCACAGAATCAGCACTTGAGTAGAAGCCCTGTGAAAAGACTTCAGAACAGAGCAGCTGATGTCAGTTGAGGCTCACAGTCTTAGCTGACGAAAGAAGGAGCCTTACGGTGATCCCGCAGAGCCCCAAAGGTAGCGACCTTTACAATTTACCACCCCCATGCCAAGGCGTGCCTTAACGTTCATTTCCAGTGTACTCCAGACAAGGTTAATCATGGGTGTGTGTTGTTATGAGTGTTAGCCTCTACACTTCAGACGCAAGAGTCCTTAACGCGAGCTCAGATTCAGCATTCTTATATATTTGATCTCCCATTTGTGGTAGTTTAAAGAAGAATGCCCCCCCCCCCATACAGGTTCATAGTTGAATGCTTAGTCACCAGGGAGATAACTCTTTGGTAGGATTAGAAGGATCGGGAGGTGTGGCCTTGTTGGAAGAAGTGCATCACTAGAGACGAGCGTTGAGGTTTCAAAAGCCCAGCCCAGGCCCAGTCTCATAGTCTCTCCGAGTCTCTCCCCCCCCCACACACCTCTTTTCACCCATCTCTCTCTTGGCCTATGGATCAAGATGTAGCTCTTAGCTACTTCTCCAGGACTACACTTGCCTGCCGCCATGCTCCCAGCCACAGTGATCATGGACTGCGTCTCTGAAACTGTAAGCCAGCCCCCAATTAAACCGCTTCCTGTCTGAGAGCTGGCTTGGTCCTGGTATCTCTTCACAGCAACAGAACAGCGACTGAGACACCATCAAAAGGCTGCCTTTGGGACAGCAGCATTGTCATTTGATTATCATTCTAGCCAATCTTCCTCTGGCTAACTACGGGAGAAGAACACCGAGAAATGCCAGCTGAGGGGCTATGGAGATCAGCAGTCACATGGAGCTTCTGGAGGAATTCATCAACCACTGCGATGCGTACCCTTACATAAGCACGCAATTAGTCACCTGGGGTCATCCATGCATACGTATTTACCAGGCACCCAGAGATGGGTTGTTTGACTTAGTAACTGCCCAGAAGCAGCTACTCTCCAAACAGTCTCAGAAGAGCACTTGACATTATTTTACCACGAACTAATACAGAGCAGTATATGAAATGATTCCTTCAAAACTGGAGTTTCAAGTTCTCATTCCAGCTCTTGGGCCAGTTGGCTGAATGACACTGGATAAGTACCTTCTGGACTTTCAAGACCAGTGAAACCCTAAAGGACACTTTAGCAATTGACATTCTAGAGAATTTATGACAGAATTTCTAATCTTGGCCTTCAAAGACGTCCAGAAATCTTACCCAACCTTCCCCAGCCCTCTTGTTGACTATTTAAGTCTGCTCTCTCTGCCAAAGCAGTTTTTTGGTTTGACACGAATCCTCCAGGACCACGGTTTGCATCTACAAGTCTTGAGCCTCTGCTAGGGGAAACCTCCCTTTCAGAATACTGTCTTTCTCCTGACACAGCTTAAATCCTACCTCCTTCAAAATACTTTCCCCCTCTACTCCAGGAATCACATAGGGCACTAAATATTATTTATAACGTGTTATTTTATCTCTCTCATAAAGCTGAGGAAAGCTCCTTTATGAAGTAGGTACTCAAAACAACTCATCAATATGGGGTGAACTACGTCCCATTCTAATATAGCGGATCTACTTTTGAAACATCTGCTTTTCGTCAAACAATGGAGTCAGGCACGCAACTGTTATGAGAAGTATGGGACTCCCCAGGATGACTAGCATGAAAGTGTATCCATCAGTGAAAACTGCTGCCATCATGCTTTGCCTCTCACACGAAACTACCAGGCAAACTGTCTCAGAAAATGTATTCGTTCAGATCCTCCACTAATCCTCAACAGATGAGGAGGTAGGGCACAGGCTCCAGGATATGGCTATCCTGTTCTTCAGAACTGAAGGGCTTCTGCTAGACTGAAGCTCAGGGTGGGCATTGCCAAGACGTTCCTGGAACTGAAGTGAACTAGCACACCATGTGCCCCCCGGGTATGATTATGCTGGAGGAACAGGTATGGTACCAAATCTGACCAAAGGGAGACATCTGTGAATGGTCCACAGTGAAACACTGGACCTCTTTCGGGTTACTGTCAGCGTCACCGGGTGAGTAGAAACGAAGATCCGGAGAGCAGGTTGTAGATTCCAGGGAGTGAGGCTAAGGACTTTAAAGCAGAAGCCACTGTCCCCCAGAGACGGGTACTTACATTTACGGCCAGTGCTCACACTGGACTCCAGACTCTTGAGTTTCATTACCACCGCCTCTTTGTCAGCTTTAGACTCTAACAGATATCTAAGCAACATGCATGCGTGCTGAGTGGCTCTGTAATGGAAAAAAAAATGAGGAAAATGGTTTACGGACCAAATAAAATTTGATTCATGAAGGGAAGGAGAAGCATAGGCTCTAAAAGCAAAGAGAAACATGGTGCCGAGGCAGGATTTCTGGGGAGGTCTCTCATGTTGAAGCTCTTACAAAAGCGACTTTCTGCAACAGTCCTTGCACAGGAGGGTCAAAGGGTGAGCAGGCAATGGAAATGCAACACAAAGGTCAGGCGAGGACTCTGCAGCTATGCCGGGCATGGCTCCCCCAGAGCCCTTTGCTGGCACAGGAAGACGATGTAGTCAAAGGAAGAAACGCACAGGGATGTGTCTCGGGTCCACAAAGGTCCACATGTGCTATCTGCCCCTGTGCAGAAAGATTTTCAGATTTCCTAGATGGACTTTTCTGCCACATAGTTTAAACTTACTATTTAAGTGACAGGAAACAAACTCAAAACCCAGGTGAAAAGTCCAGTCTCAATATTTAGTTTTTAAGACTAAAGGACCAAATACACACCGATATACAAATTAGCAGGTACGGTGCTTGTCCTTCAAACCAATTAGTATTTTATATAAAACTGCTCAGTAATACTGTACATTCAATAGTGGTCATTATCGCACCAGCAATGGTGACAATATCATGGCAATAAATAAATTAGAATCCCAAACATCCAAATGTATCTGCAGTCTACTTAGTAAAAGCAGGTTCTAGGCCAGGTGTGGTAATGCACACCTTGATTCTCAGCACTCAGGAGGCAGAGGAAGGTAATCAGGGCCAGCCTGGTCTACATGGAGAATTCCAGGCCAGCCAGGGCTATATAGCGCAACTCTGTCTCATACAAGACAAAAGATCAACAACAAACAAACAAAAACCAGGAGGTGCTGGTCCCTACTGTCTTAGAGCTGCATTGGAGTCCCTGTATGATGCAGATATTCTTCTCAGGAAAACTAGGGGCACAGCGCTGGTGGCTCATGCCTACAATCCCAGCACTCAGAAGGCCGAGACAAGGAGACTGTGGTGGCAGTCTGGGCTTCAGAGTAAGATTTTCTCAGAATAAATAAATAAACCCTCCCCAAAGTGGTACATTTTCCACAATGATGAGCTAGTTCCGGGTAATGAAGTAAAATGAGGAGGCGCAGAAGACAGAATCCACTTTCTGGCCAGAGGGCTCAAACTGCTCATATCAGAACACCCTCCTCTCTCAGATTTGGTCTAACAGGAGTAGGTCTGAAAACAAGGTGCTATTTTAGGAATACTAGTTTGTTTATAGTTATTCAGATCTTAAAAGAGTTGGGAAATAAAATTTTGCTGAATACCTATATTCTAAATTACTATTTCCTTAAAAGACATTGCAGGGTACATTCTGGGCACACTAGAATGATATGATCTGATTTTTAATCAGCACGCAGAAGGCTGAGACAAGGAGACTGTGGTGGCAGTCTGGGCTTCAGAGTAAGATTTTCTCAGAATAAATAAATAAATCCTCCCCAAAGTGGTACATTTTCCACAATGATGAGCTAGTTCATAGATGGGGGTGTATTTTCAAGTTAAACAGAAGGCAGAATGACTAAGTTCAGAGGTGGGTGCTGGAGTCAACTGTGTGGACTTGCATCTCTTGGCTCTGCACATTAGTTCTTTTCAACGTCCTGCTTCAGTTTCCCTATATGTGAAACTGGGGTACTAAAGAATCTCCTCCACAGACTGCAATGAAGTCTGTACAGTTGCTCTCCTGACGTCTCATTACTAGGATTTTTCTGACTTACATGTTTAGTTTATATTAATAGTTGAACACAAACACCTGGAAGAGAAGAGTTGTTAAATATTTTTTTTTCTTTTCCTTTTCTTTTAAATGGTCATTGAGCAACACTCAGGCAAATTTCTCTTTTAAAATAAGTGGAGGATTAGTTTCAAACACTCACTGGTGCTTTTCAAAAAAGTACACCGTGTACTTCGGAGGTATCGTTCAAACACTTTTTCCATTGTACTTTTTACAGTTTACAAGGCTTTTTAACACTCAGTATCTCCAAGACACAGACTGAGCCAAAATGTAAGATCAAGAAGATAAAACTGTCTTTCCGTGAGGACTTCATCTGGCGCTCCAAGCCACGGGTGTCCTGCTTCCTTGGGTACAAAAGAAATGCAAAGTTTCTCTCGAAAAGAAATCTCTAGGAAAGAAGTTGAGCGTTGGGGACTCAGTTTCCCTCTTTGGGGGAAGGTTAGGAGACAAGGCGGGCTCACAGACTGCTGTCACATCCAGAGGCACCGAGGCGGCTGGCGCGCACAGCCCCACTGAATTTGGGCGCGGGGAGGGGCTCGGGTCCCCACCCCCAGTGGGAGCTGGCCGCGTCCTCGTGCCTCGATTTCCCGGACTGCTGCCTCCTTCTCCGAGGGGAGGAAACACTGGATCCAGACACGGGACAGGGCTGGAGGCCGACGGCACCTGGCTCACCTGAAAAGCCGGTCCCGGCCCTGGCTCTGGTTGGCGAAGCGGATGAAGGCGTCCATGGCTCACACCCACAGCCATGCGTCGAACCCGATCACTCGTGGGTCCTCCGGGGCGCCGCGGGTCCCCAGGGGGCGGTGGGGATCACGGTAGCCGCGGGGTGGGTGGGACCGGGTTTCTCCGCCCACACGGGGGTGGACACGCCTTCGGAAGCACGGCCTGTCAGGGTTCCGGTCGGGACCGGAAGTACTAGTTGCTAAAGCGACGCCAAGCCGCACGTCGGGTGTGAGCCGAGCTGCGTCCCACAAGTTCGGCTGTAGTGGCCTTCCCGCCTCGTCCCCGGGTGGGGGCACCGAGTGGGTCAGCCCCCTCCCCGCCCCAGGCGTCCCGGTGTGCTCAGGTACCCACGACCCCCACCTGGAAAGCTAAACGTTCTTCTCCTGCCCAGGACCCCGCCCCCAACTTTTCTTTTGGGGACCACAGGCTGCATCATCTCCCTGTGCCAGGCCTGAAGATGCAGGCCACGGGGCTAAGCCAGTCCTGGAGTGTGTTTCCTAGCTGGAGAGAGGGGTAAAGTGGGAGGATTTTTCTATTAGGATTATTGAAAACCAAATGATTTTTTCCCCCCTGGGGAAATTCTAAAAGGCTCGACATGAACCAAATACAGGCAAGGGAGATCGTAGCGACCTTGCACTGCCGGTCACTGGTTCTGTGGAGCTTGAAGATGGAGCCTCACTTGTAAAATTCTCCTTCTCACCGTCGCTCCCTACCTTCTGCCTCTTCCTCCGTCCCTGTTTTTCTGTTCGCTTCTCTCATCTGCCTTTATTTCCCCCCATCCCTGACTCTGATGGCTAGGATGGGAGTATCCTCTCGAAACACAGCCTCAATCATGTCACCCTACTTTCTGAGGGGATTCCCCTAGAGGCGCTTTTCTAAGGATGGGGTCGCGTGTGCGTTGCCAGTCTTCTCTGAAAACCTCTCGGCCAGGACCTCTCAGCGACCCTTCTCCAGCCAGCTGTGCTACACACCTCACTGATCCCCGCAGGGACCTGGGCCACCTCCACTGTACACTGTACGCCGTATACAGCCCTCCCTTCTCTGGCGCTCTTTCCTCATGCTCTACGTGTTACCAGGGACATCAAGGCTCCCTTTTGTGAGTTAGTAAAAGAGTTTAGAAACAGACTCAGAAGGAAGCTGGAAGGCAATCTTATCGAGCGTTGGAAAGAAAAACAAGGCAGGCGAAGTGTAAATCTCAGTAGATTCCAGTATAGAGAGATGAAGAGAGAGAAAGAGAAAGCCATGCTTTTTTGCAGTGGACACTGGCAGGCAGCACCATGGTGAAGGAGGATGGGACTGGAGCTTCAGAGAATGAGTGAGAACGCCCAGAGCCCCTGACTGAAGCTCTGCAAGCAGCCGCTTGCAAGTAATTTTATAAGATGCTCTCAGCAGGCAGGAAGTAAGGTCTCCCCCGTTTCTCATCTTTATTCCCTGCACGGGACCTATCCCTAACACTTGCAGGCGTGGGGTAAAAGTATACTCCAGACCTGAGTACTTTATGCTTAGATATTTGAAAATTGTACAGGTAACAAACCGTTAAGTGTGTTCTGTTTCCTGGGTTGTCATACACTCTCACGATAACACGGAAAGCCAGGCTGACTTTTAGAATTCTAAGGCTCCTTGAAATATCCGCAAACACAGCTGGGATGTAGAAATGTATCGAGAAACGGCTCCCAGACTTTTCCCGATCCTCCTCTGGTCTCTTGCTCTCACCTACACTGCTAAAAGGAATGTGTGGATACTCCAAACTGCATTTGAATTCTGTCCTATACCTCCACAGACAGCCTTGAGGTCTACTTGTGCTCATGTTAACATCTGGCTCTCCCTCCAGGAGAAAGTAGGAAAGGCTTAATGCAAACTCTGGTGTCATTTGGGCAGTGATTTCCATGGACTTGGCTGGAAGAGGGAAATAAGGTGTTAGGTAAGAATATCCACTTGGCTCCATGAATTACAAATCCTTTCCAGAAGAAAGTGCCATTGGGAAAAAGAGCCATCCTCTCTAAGAGCATGGCTCAGGCCTTACCCTTCTCTCATCCTCCTTCCCCTCTCCTCTTCCCACCAACTGCCCACCCTACTTTCCTGTCTTTTTTTTTTTTTTTTTTTTTTTTTTTGCAGGGGCGGGGTTTGCTTTATGGCCTCCTGGGTTTAACCAGGCTCCTTTGAGCATGGCTGTAGAGCAAACAGTAAGACTTTGTTGAGTACTGGCTCAGCACCAATTACTCTGCTCGGCTCACTGCCCAGGAACCACAATAAACGGATAAGTACAGCATGTTGATCTGGCAGATGACAGAACATGGACACAGGTGCTGTTCCTTCCACAGAGGTGTTAGGTTTGGATCACCCGTTTTCTGTGTATTCCTGCATTTTCAGCAATATCACAGAAATGTCATCATAGCGTGTATGTTTTTTTATTCTGATTTCTTCCACTTACCATAATGCCCTTGAGATTCATTCATGTTGTACATATCAGAACTTGGTAATTTTTTTAGTTATCCATTCACCCACTGAAGTACACTTGTGGTTTGGGGCATAAAAATAGCTGTATTTAAGTACAGATTTTCATATGAACCTTAATTTTTTTGTTTTTCTTGTGTAAATGCATAGGAAAGTGATTGCTGAACCATACAGAGGATTTAACTTTGTAAGAAACTACCAAACCATGTTCCATCCTAGCCACATTCTTTTATTTCCCCACTGGGAGTGTGGGCGTTTATCTGCTTGCCGAGCCCTAAATGGTTTCTAATGGTTTCCCCTTTGGTGCTCCTAGAAATAATGTGGTCATTGTGCATGAGGCTTTCAAGTGTTTTTATTTCCACCCCTAGAACTGGAATGACTGGACTGCAGATATGTTTAACTTTTTAAGAAGACACCAAACTCTTTTAAGAATTGTTTATTCTTTGACAATGTCATACACATGTGTAATTCATCCTGGTCACACCCATCCATTTCCCTCTCCCCTCCCACCAGCACCCCTTCATGTCTTTTTATTTTGTTTTGTTCTGTGACATATAACTAGGGCTACCCTGTGGGCATGGGTGTAGATGTAACCAACCGTCTTATTAAATAAGAAACACAGAACCAGTTCAAAGAAAAAAGCCAAGAGATCAGAGCTGAGAGCCTTACCTGTCTGCTGCAGCTACCCTCTTCAGCCAAGAGAGACCTACTTCCTGAGTGTTTGTCTTTATATAAACTTTCTGTTCTGCCTTCTCATTGGTTGTAAACCCAACCACATGACCGCTTCGTCACTGCCTGTCTGTACAGACTTCCAGGTCTTCTATGGTTGGTATTGAGATTAAAGGCGTGTGTCTCCAATGCTGGCTGTATCCTTGACCACACAGAGATCTACCTAGCTCTGCTTACCAAGTGCTGGGATTAAAGGTGTGCGCCACGAACGCCCAGCTCTGCTATTAGCTCTGACCCCCAGCAACTTTATTTATTAACATAAAAATAAAATCACATTTCAGTACAAATAAAATATCACCATACATGGATGTGAAGCTATTCCCTGGACCACAAGTAACTTGCCGGCCCATGACTACATCCCGGACGACAATGACTTCCTCCCCCAGTCAGCCCTTAATTTTCCTGGCGAGGCAGGGTGGGGCCTCACGAGACCCCCCTCCATCTGTGACTTAGTGTTTAAGGCGTCTTGTGGAGACTCTCTGCAGGTAACTGCAGCTGCTGTGAGTGCGCATGCCCCAGCCACGCCATGCTCCTGAGACACACTTTCACAGCAGCCCTCCTGCCTCCACCACCTGGCCCTTGTATTCCTCCCCACTCCATCCTTTGAAAAGTTCCCTGAGCATTGGAGAGGGGGATGTGGCTGTCCCATTCCAGGCTGAGCATTTAGCAATCACTCGTCCTCAGTGCCTTACCAGCCACGAACCTTTGCATTAACCACAATTCACTGCAGAGAAGCTTCTTTGAGCAAGGCCGAGGACAGCACTAGTCTATAAACGGGTATAAATATAAAGACTTAGGAGGCAGTTTGACAACATATCCACTTAGCAAAACAAGAGTAGTGGTTTTCTGCTAGTGTGTCTGATCTTCCTGATCCCCAGGCTTTGGCCAGGTCCACAGTACCCCTCCTAGAGAGTGTGGGCCTCTGATCCCATCAGAAACCAGAAATGGTTATCCCATAATAATCATGCCATTATTGCACCAGTAAGCAAAGTACTCATTGACTAATACATTGGTATTATGGCATTCAGGGTCCAGGTCACCACTGCTGACTCCTCTGCTTCCGAGATCAACATCATCAACCACCTCAAAATGAATAAAATCTTTTTTAAATTATATTTTTAATAGCTTATCAAGTAGAAGATCCATGCGCCTTTCTTCAGATGTTGTTAGTTTTGGTTCATCCTTTCCTTGTCCTCCATCTTCCCATCCACCCCTGCTGGAAGCTTGTCACTCTCGTATCCCTTCCAAGGTCCCATGTGTCCTACGGTCCCCACCTCCTTAAAGCCTCCCCCCCCCCCATGGCCCTTTTGTCAATTCCAGGTCTCTACAGGCATTCCAAGTTAGACCAACAAACCTAAAAAGTCAAAACCATGAGCCGCATCTGAGAGAGAACATGGGACATTGAACACTGAGCTCGGGTTACTTCACTCAGTATAGTGTTTTTCAGTTCCAGCCATTTTCCAGCAAATTTCAAAATTAATTTTTCATTACAGCTGACTAAAATTCCACTGTGTCTATGTAGCACGTCGTCCTCATCCGTTGATCAGTTGGTAGACATCTGGGCCTAGCAGCGATGACCATGGGTGAGCAGGTATCCGTGTGTTAGCCTAGAGTCCATTGAATATGTGTGACAATAATGGACAAAACCTCTGGACTGTAAGCCAGCCTCAGTGAAATGTTTTCCTTTGTAAGAGTTGCCGTGGCCATGGTGTCTCTTCACAGCAATAGAAACCCTAACTAAGACAAAGACCATACCTCCTAATCCTTCCTAAACAGTTCCCCCAATTGGTAATGAAGCATTCAAATATATAAGTTTATGGGGGCCATTCTCATTCAAACCATGACAGTACTGTGTCCTTATTAACTGTTCTGTCCCTTTAATCTACAAATAGAGCAGAATGCATTGGAATCTTTGGCTCTGATTGTTAAGGGTTTTTATTTGTTTGTTTGTT